AACCATGGGAAGGTCAACAGATCACACGGAGATGAGGCATGAAGAAATGCACAGAGCCATTAGGTAGGGTAGGTGTCTCGCGCCTTCCAGGTTGGGGTCGGAAAGACTGTGCAACTGGTAGGTTGGAGAAATTGAAGGTACATTGTGATATCCGCAGAAAACCAGTAGGAAATTCAAAGTAACCAACGAAATTGCACGCTACCATGGGCTGTGAAAAATAGACTGATTATTTATTACAATAGCAAGGGCGTGTGTGTGCTGTTTGTATGTATGTAAAAATCAACAGTGGTACCGAAATAGCGAGGAATGATACAGCATGATGCGATGTGGCGCAAAATAACGAAATTCTAGCAAGAGCCTTGTTGCCTTTCTCAATCGGATGTTTTGTTTTTCTAACAGAAAAGAAATTAATTAATTTGTCTACTCGGATATGTTATGATCAACAAGGAACATCAAACAATTGCTTCGTCCTTATTTGGACTCATCGGCAAAGCGTACTATTTTCGTCCCCGTGCGAAAATTTCGGGCTGAAAGCTATACGGTTGACGGTCAGTATCTTGAAAGCATGCCTACATGAATGGAATAAGACCTTGGTGATTCCATGCGGAGTCCAGACACCAGGGTCTGCGTCTTGTTGTTCCTGTGTGGCTCTCAAAAGTTACTTTAACTATACGGAGTAAATTCAAGATGACACGTAAAGCTCGGAGATCTTCACGACCAGATTCGATGCAGCCCAGACAAAATGAATTTGCAATAATAATGAGTAATTCAAGAATCAGATAGTGGTATGTTGTTTCCAAACTTTTCCATCGGATAGAGAACATCGACTGTGTATGGCGGCATAGAAACAAATTAGGTTGTTTTAGGTGTTCACTGGTGGATTCACTTGCATTAAACGTCTGTTTAGTTCCAGCAGAACATCTAGCCGCGTAACAATATTCAAAATAGCACAGTGAAGGAACGACAGAAGATATGATTCAGCTTTGGTAACCAAAAATCTAAGTTAACACAGAGACGGAGATAAAGCGGGAAACTTCATGATAGATGTGGGATTTCACCAACTCAAAACCCGATTGCATTGAGCAGTAGGACACTAAATGATTCGAAAGTGAACCATAAAACTATGTGGACATGCTACTGAAAAATACTATTGCACGTGAGTAATGAAGGATTTGATTCAATTTCATAGAAGGAATTCGTCGTGTATAGAGTAAATGAAGCGTGAAATGAAAAGCTAGGAATTACTATGCAGCTGTTTCGACCTGGTTGGGTCTCATCAGCAGTGCTTCCTAGGTTTTCAGTTCACGCTTCGTTTATTCTATACACGACGAATTCTTTCCATGAAAAGCACTATATCCGACTTATTTCTCACTAGAAATCGTCAGCAGTGTCGACGGTTAGAACCAATAAGTGCAAGGCTAAGTCTCACTCATTACCACATAATCTCGACCGCAAAAATATTATTAAGCCATCTGAACGCTTTCAGCACACACAACACAAAATCCACACAAAACTAATAGGACAAAGAAGGGCACAATACCAGGTATCCGTTTTTCACTTTGGAAATACTCATTTTTATTTAAAAAACACCACTCGCTAACCGGACTGATATAAACATAGAGTAAGTGGAAATCTCACTATCAACGATTTATAATTACTAACAGTAGAGGGCTATTAGGAACTACTCGGTACATCTAAGGTAAATTTAACAACCATACCCCAGGTTTTGTCCCATAAAATCATCTAATTTCAAATAAGTCAACAAAACTGTACCTGCAGAACACAATTTGAAGCGAAATTATGCAACCGAAACTCAGTAAACTATTTTGGAGATTTATTTAAATGACAGAAAGCAAAATTTTTTTTTCACGAGAATAGCAAATAATTGGAATAGCACTTTGAGAAGAATGCCTGAAAGTGAGCTGTTTCATTTGCACTGATAATTCGCTCATACATCTTTTGTCCTAGCTCAATGGAATATGGACCCGAAAGCAGATGGCATCAAATTCACAAGGGGATCACCATCACACAGACACATAATCGGAGGTACATACTTTAGCATATGCAACCAGCAACGAACCGAAGGAAACAACAAAAATGGAGGGATTCACAAAAGTATTGGAGATTTTGAATGATCGTATAAACCAGTCCTTTGGATTAATAAACAAAATAAGACTATGGAAATAACTCTTATTTCTAATCATTTGCATATTTGCTAAACCTCTGAACGAAAAGAAAAAATCTGAACTCCAATTATTGATAACAAAAGCCAATTAATGGAATTAAAAGACACCAAACAGATCATCGTTATTCAACCTACCTTAGATGTCGGCAACGGGGTTAGCGCAAGAGACGGGTCATCTAGCGGGGCGTGTAGTACACGAAACAGGACGAACAGTATGTGAACGCAAGGAGTTGGTTCGTTCGCACCACCTGCACCTGGGTCCATGCAACTGCACAACTGCGGTCCAATGATAACATGAAACCGAGGTCGCGACTGGACTGAGCCATTGGTTGAAGACAGCGGTTCGGAACCTTCATTCGATCGTTTGGAAACTAGAACAAACGCGTTTGGAGCAGGTTGGCCGACCAGGAGAAATGGTGAAGCGGTGTCGCATATGTTCAACAGTTCTTGCACTCGAGATTTGAAAATCCGTTGGGACCTCGGTCCGCCAGAACATTCGACCGTCTTGGATTCAGCGTAATTTGGTGACTGGAAGTTTAATTGCAGCCGAATGGTTGAATCGGTTGACGGGGAGGAGACTTGCATATACATAATTCAACCTGGATTAACGATTCAGAGTAATGAAAAATGAGCCTAATGGTAAATGACAGTAGATTACATTATTACTTTAAATATTTTTTGAAAAGATAGTGGTGCAATTAATTTTCAAGAAAGAAGCAGTCAATCATAGGGCTCTGATTAGATACAAAGATAAGCAGCGGATGGATTCGAGTAGAGTGATGTAGTGGTGCTTCTTAGCACTTTATCCCCATTGTCATTATCCAATAAAAATAAAACGATGAAAGATATACGATTTCTGTCAATTATGAAAGACAAAATTTCGATAGCGCTTTTATTGAATACATGGGCAAGTGTATAAGTTAGTGGCATACTAAATAGATATACTTCTAAAAGCAAATCATATTCTTTTTATCCTATACAATCGTCCGAAAAATAATCACTTTCATATTAACTACTGCCTTCTGAGGAATCTAATAATAAAAAAACGAAAGGATGTCCAAAGAGAACAAAAATGATTTTTTTTATCAATATACGTAACAAAACTAGAAAATAAAGAAATGTGTAAATGTTATTGATATCTCAACAGGGACGGGTTGTGTGCATCTTAGTCCGACTGCCTAGCCCAAACTAACATACTTCAAATAATATTAATGGTATTCACCCTTCGCCATAATCGCATAGACTGACTATCTTTGACCATCTTCCAAACAGTATATGTTCCAGTTGAATGTGCCCTGAAGAAGCCCGCTTGTGAACGACGCATACACTAACCAGAGCAATCTGTGAGGAACAAGCATCGATATGAATCCATGAGTTCAACCGCTACAAACGAAAACAGTGCAGTAAACAAAGATGCTCATCTACTTTCAAGATGAGCTAGAACAAACATATTCTACTTTGATGGATTTGTAAGCGATAAACAAAGAAACAGGTAATAAACGAAGTGATCCACTGCCCGATCGGCGTGTACAACAGCGATACAAGGATCACAAAACCACTGTATGGAAGTACATCTTCTTCAATCATGGTCCTAGTTATGATAATCGGTTTATAAGACAAGACAAACCGAAGCGTATTGTATGCATGTCATAAAACGTGAGCAGTCAGAAACTAGTGTGCTGCCTGCCGGATCATAGGAATTTATCCGCGGTCAGTATCGACTTTCGAGCTCCCGGTGTGATCGAATAGGGACCAATTTAACTAGAAATGTTTCACTATGAGCGATTAAGTCAAAATTAAACTATTAAATCAATTTAATTTTTAAAACATTAAGGTGAGGATGAACATCCGTGCTGTCGGGATCAAATCACAGGGTTATTCGTTCATTATAGGAATACAGAAAACTGGTTCAGAAGAATAATTTGTCAGCTCTTCCTTTATGTTCAAATACATAGTTAGTGTGTTTATGATCATTAAATGCGCCACATTTGCCGGTCACTAATATACATACTATCGTTAATGTTGCCATTGTATCTTATTAAATTATCCCGACATCTTGCTGAAGTCAATATAACACAACAGTTCAAATTTCATGGATTTCTCCAGCTTACTCTTGTGTGTAATGCAGTCAATAAATTTTCAACGTGCCTTTCAAAAAAGGGATATTTACATAGTCTGTGGAAATCGGTTTACCCACGATACCTGAAAATAATTTCTGTGTTGTATTTTCAGCAGTGGTTACACACAAGGGATCTTACAAGCAAAGTGTTAATCATCAAAAACCTTTGCAGACATTTGACTTTCTTGTATCAAAGTTGACTGATAGCTGTCTTAGTTCGTTCGACTTCTTTAGGAAAAATGGTGTGAATGTTTATTTGATGTTTATTTCAATCTTAGAGGTGCAATAAACTAGACCTTGTTTGCTAATATTGTGTTTAGTCCACCTGTGAGCCCGCGCTTGGTTTGAGTGCTAATCCAATTCTTCGCTGCTTGTTCAAGTGCTTCATAAAATATAAAAAAGAGGTCAATATGGGGATAATTAAATTGTGTCACTTATTCCCCAGTAGGTGTGAATGCTTACAAGACAATCAGTCTGTAGTCCTAAAGGAAGCTCGCTTAAATACCCTCTGGCCGGACGGTGAATGAAGCGCAAGAGCCAGAAGTCTTCTCCCTTTATACCCTTATTGACACGAAACATTACCCCTTTCTACAACTCTGCATGTGCTGTTTGAAATCGCCATAGTTACAATGTGTCATGTCTCACTGGGCTGCTCTCCGTTGCGTTTGTGCCAGATACGTCTCCTCAGGGTTGACAGTTGGAGATGTGTTAGTCGCACGAGAGAAGCCCCTTTGCGTTCGATGCGCCAAACCTGTGTTCCGTTTTGATCTCGCATACGGACCAAATATTGGACAATACTCGATAAACGTGAGAGCGGGGGAGCGGGGACCTATCAGCAGCTGGTCTCCGTAAACCTTAGTAACAGCGTTAACAAAAGTAGATTAACAGAAAACCCATCTATATGTGGACGTTTCTGGTATAAAATGTGTGGGAGAATAATTGTCTCCTAAGAGGAGTGAAACGCAACGGGCCTAAAACTACGAATGGGCTGTGAATAGCACATAGGTGAAGAGATAAGACGGGAAGGAGAGAGTAGACAGTTGATTGATATTCGTACAGTGAGGTATTGTGATTAGTCAAATATTTCTATTCGGCTGAATGAATCAGCTGAAGGGAGAACACCGAATGATATGAATTCATACACATGAATCAGCGGATGCATGTCAAAGAATTTATGTTTGTTTTGCATCGTCGAATACATACGAAGAGAAAGTTGTGGTACACTTTGATGAATGCACTGTCATACACATTGGGGTGTGGGCGAATGAGAACGCACATGTTCCAGGTTTTTCTCTCGGGAAAAAAGTGCAACCCTTCAAGGGCATTTTCGATGGCCAGTTTTGGTTGTACATATAAGAAAGCATCAGTCTGACCCATCGATGGATTAATTTGGCGTGCATTTATTCATGCCAGTCAGCTGACTAGTGCTTACAGGGTGATATATGTGTACAGACATCCTTTAAAGAAACAGATACCGAAAACGTCTCAAATAATATGCGTGTCGCAGGAGTTGAAACAATCGAAAATAACAATCCTTAACAAGACGTTGCATCATTATTTACAAATGCAGCATAGCCTATACAAAATCAGCTATAAAAATGTAGGTTAAGATTAGGTGAGTAGCAGAATATGTTCCTCAACCAAGCAAGCTGCTAACACAC